ACAATTAAATACAATGTTCAATAATAATATGACATACTAATCCGAAATTAATTATCTACTGTTTTTTTACAATTAAATACAATGTTCAATAATAATATGATACACTAATCCGAAATAAATTATCTACTGTCATCTCGTTTATCAATTGCATGGTTTAAATGTGTGGAATATCGATTTTCTTGATCGGATGTTTTACCTTGTTTAAAGGTGAGAGCATGCTTTTTAATGGATGTTTATTGTGGAATTTGCCGATTTTATATCTTAATCCTTGGATTTCAAACTTATTAGGTGAGTAATTTATTTATTTATATAGTTAAGATATCTGTCTGCTTAAGAATATCATAAAAATGTTTTTTTTTTTTTTTGAAGAAAACAAATTTCTGTTCTTTAGATTAAATTTTGAAACACCCGGACTGCATTGTATTCTTTGTCTAGATTGTATGATCTAAAGTATTCGTCAAATTCAGATTTAAAGAGAATGAATACATTAGTAGATTTATTTCTTTGGTTTGATACATAGTACGATTTGTAGATTGCAAATCCTATAATTGTCAGAATTATATTGAATCCGATATACTCGCTATCTGTTATTTTGTAGCCTATTACTATATCTTTTAAGTTGATTTTTTTATTAAAGTTCATTTGAGATAAAATTTTATTTATAATTTCCCAAAATTCTTTTAGAAATTTACATTCAATAAAAAAGTGATGATACGTGTCTTTAAGTTGACAAAGTTGACAATAGGGGCTAGATTCGATTTTCCATTTGTAGAGATTTTCTCCATTTGGGAGAATGCAGCTTATCAATTTCCATCTAAACATTTTTAGTTTATTCAGTTTTAAATTTTGGTGTATAAATTTAAACGTATATTTGGTAAAATTGTAATTGATTTCTAGTTCTTTTTTCCATTTATTTATGCCGATGTTTGGAGAAATTTTTTGTCGAACGAGGTATTGATATACCTTTTTGTTGCTTAAATTTTCAAATTCAATGTTTTCTTTGTTTATATTGATAAATAATCTGTTAAAATTTACATTTGATTTGATGGATTCTTTCTTGGCTAAAACTTTTAGCCATGAGGTTGGTATTGCTTTTTTGACTATCGAAATTTCTGAAATCCAATTTTTAGTGTTTTGCAGTTTTTTAAATATTTTTTCGTGGGCAATTTTTCCATTGTCGTCAATAATATCATTAAGATAAATGAAATCACTGTGTATCCAATTATGCATAATAAGCGGCTTGTTTTGAAATTTGATAAATTTATTACCCCAGATAACTTGCTTTCTTATCTCGACAAAGTTTTTCAGTTCTGTGTTTTTCGTTTCATGAATTAAAATCCAACTTTTTATTATATCTAAGTAAAAATCTGGAATATCCTTAGTTATATCTAGTTTTTTTAAGGTTTGGTTATTTAAGTTCATTCTAAAAATAAGGTAATTTTCCCCTAATTTGTTTAAAAATAGCTTTGGGATCAATGTCCAATTTTCTTGTTTTGCCTGTAGCAACCTAGAGACCCATCTTATCTTAAGAGAGGAGAAGTAGCTTTTTATGTCGATCATATTTAGCCCTCCCTGGTTGTAATCTGCTACCAATGTATATCTTTTGATTTTATCTTTTTTACCATCCCATATAAAACTAAAGATTTCTCTTTCTAGTTCAAGTATATTTGAGTTACTTAAAACTGTAACGTTCGCTAAAAAAGTAAATTGTGGTATAATGAGGGTTTTAACTATTAGAATTTTACCTAAAATTGTTAAGTTTCTTTTTTTCCACGATGTAATTAGATTTCGACTCTTTTCATATCTAGTATCCCAATTCAATTTTTCACAATCTTTTTTATTAATGCCGAAATATATTCCTAACACTTTTACGGGTTTATCCGTGAAATTAATTTCATCTACTTTATCCCTACAATGTTTGAGTTTACCAATCCAGATTCCTTCTGTTTTATTTTTATTTAGTTGTAGTCCGGAAAAAGTTCCAAAAATTTCGATTACATTTAATGCTGTTCGGATTTCTTCTTTCGATTTGAGGAATAGAGTTGTATCATCAGCAACTTGCGTGATTTTCAAGCTATGTGTTTTACTATCAATTTTTAATTCTATGCCTCTTATATTTTTGTTTTGCCTTAGTTGGTTGGCCATTATTTCTACTGACATTACAAAAAGTAGAGAAGAGCACGGGCATCCCTGCCGGATACCTCTAAGGGGTCCAAAAGGGGAAGATATCCACCCGTTATTGAATATAGAGCTATTTATATTTGTATACAAGGTTCTTATCCAATTTATGAAGGGTTTATTAAAACCAAAATATTCTAAAGTATGATACATAAAATTCCATTCTAATGTGTCGAAAGCTTTCGAAAAATCTATGAATAAAATAGCACCTTCTATATTGAACTTATCTGCGTAATCTATTACATCTTGTATTTGGCGTAGATTAAAACCTATGAATCTGTTCTTGATGTATCCTGTTTGATCAGCATTAATGATTAGATTTAGGATTTTTTTTATTCTTAAAGCTAAAGTGTAGGAGAGTATTTTATAATCACTATTTAATAATGATATTGGTCTGTAGTTTGTGAGTTCCAACGGATCATTTTTTTTATAAATTAGATTCAGTAAACTTTGTCTTTGCGTAAATGGCAGTTGTATACTGTAAATTCAGAAATTATTGCGAGGTTTTTATTATTGCGAAAAATGCGACAGAGTTGTAAACGCAATAATTTAAACTCGCATTTTGAAATATTTTATATGAATTAAACAGGATTTTTCTCAAAATCGTAAAAATTAAAATCGCATTTAAGTCTAAAATGACAAAATCGCAATAATAAATAGACGCAATAATTTCTGAATTTACAGTATTTTCAAAGCTAAAGTTAAAAATTTTTACAAGTAGAGGTCCAAGAAGTCCCCAAAATTTTTTATAAAAGTTAATGCTTATCCCGTCCATTCCTGGACTTTTATTTAATTTTAGATTATTGACTGCAATAGTTAATTCTTCTAGCGTTACGTATCCGTCACAAGATTTACTTTCTTCTTTTGATAATTTATAATTGCGTTTTGTTTCAGTAATGTATTTTTGAACATCTATATCCGGTTTTTGTTTAGTGTCGTATAAATTAGCATAAAAATCCCTTTCAAGCTTTAATATTTTATCTTGATCTGTTACTATTTCCCCATTATTGTTTCTCAGTTTAAGTATTGTCTTTTTCGTTTGTTTAGATTTTTCAAGACCTAGGAAATACGCGTTATTTTTTTCTCCTTTTTCTACCCACTCTTGTTTTGATCTTATTTGAGCTCCTTTAGCTTTGTATTCATATTGGTTTTCTAGCTCTTTTTCTAATGTGGATATTTTTTCTTTTATAAAATCATTTTCCTCATTATTTAATTTCTCATATAATATTTTTAGTTGTGATTCTAAATTACGTGTTACATTTTTCCTATTTTTTGCTTTAATTTTACTATACTTAATACTATATTCCTTTATTTCCAATTTGAAGGAGTCCCACAGAAGTCTTGGATCTATTTCATTTTTTTCTATCTTATTACTATGTTTTTGTATTATTTTACTTATATTGCATTCATAATCTTGCTCGTCGAGGATACCGTTATTAATTTTCCAGTAACCCGGGCCTCTAGTTTCAGTTGAGACAGATTGTAATTGTATGGAAACTGCTTGGTGGTCAGTGCTTTTAATAAGAATAGGCCTAATATCACACGACTTAACGTTTAACATGAAATCTTTTTTGACTAGGAACATGTCAATTCGAATAGACTGGACTGGATTTTTACGTCTCCATGTATATTGGATCTTTTGGGGGTTAACGTGTCTCCATATATCTATTAAGTCATTTGATTTTATTAAATTTTTTAGGCTATTGACTGGTTTACTAACTTTTTTACGAGTATTTGAACTTTTCCTATCTACATTTTTAAGGGCATCATTCATGTCTCCTCCTAAAATTATTGTACCTATTGCGTTTTTGTTTATAAAGTCATTTAATTTTTTGTAAAAGCTATTTCGTTCAGATTCTATATTTGGGGCATATATGTTTATAAGAGAATAAATTATATTTTCAAATTCGATATTTATCATGATTATTCGACCTTCTAAATCTTTATGCTCATCTATTAATTTATAGTCTACTTTTTTATTAATCAATATAGCTACCCCTTTGCTTGATGTCGTCCCATGGCTATAATAAAGAGAATGATCTGATTCGATAGTTAGAACGTTTTCTAGAGATGTATTGAAGTGAGTTTCTTGAATAAAAGATATTTTACATTTCTGATTTTTTATCCATTGGTAAAATCTCGATCTCTTTTGTTTATCTCGAAGTCCTTTAACATTAGCTGTACAAATGTGCAGGTTATTTAACATGTTTCAATTAAAAAAAAAAAAAAAAAAAAAAAAAAAAAAAAAAAAAAAAAAAAAAAAAAATAAAAAATATGTAACTTAAAGTTGATTTTTATGTTTATTTTAATTAGTAAGTGTACTTTATGTTGGGTCGCGTTTTTAAAGTACATTTTATTTCACCCACATTTAATCGTCGTTTTATAGCGTGGGAGTTACCTGTGAAAATGATTACATTTATCAATTTTCTTTTGTGTAATTGGATTGCAACAATATTGTTATAGTCTGTTTCACGAATGAATTTGTCCAATATTGAGATGATAATTTTGAAACATATAATATATGTTCATAGCAATTACTGCATACCTGAAATACAAATCACACAACATATACATAGAACTATTAATAAAATTACAAATTGACACATTTCTTTGCTTTGTGCAAATTAAAACAAATGTATGGTTTTGACTGAGGAAAACTAATATACTGTCTCTAATTTTCTCAGCTAGTAATGTGGTTATATTTTCAAATATTTCGAAATCTGATGAAACGGATCTGTTTGTTTTTGATATTTTGTTTTTCATAACATTTTTACATTGTTTATTTGCTTTTTGCATAATATTTTCCTTTTCTCTATTTTCAGTTACTTTATCGGATTTATGCTGTGAAGATGTACTAAGAATAGTTATTAAGGTGAGTAAATCTTTACTTTTGTTTTGATCTTGTTGAGTACATCTACTATAGATTAAAGTTGTAAACCTAAAGGGTTTTAAATAGAAAAAAGACTGGTTAAATTTTCTAATATAAGTGTTTTTATCTCTGACAATTTTTGTTTTTGGTATTATCAAATATACTTCTGTTAATAGTATCATATACATGAAAATATATGGTATAATGCAATATGTGCAAAATTTCACGTTTCTTTTTTTTTTTTTGTATTTACTCTTGTTACATTTGTTTTGGAATCTTTATTCCATTCAATTATCTTTCTATAAATACTAAATACACAATTAATCGTCCCAGAAAACAATAACAACTAAACACGCAACATATATAAAGATTACTGAAGATAGAAAAATAAAACAAACGTTGCTCAAATGACATCTATAGCATCTACAATGACAACTGGCCTCGTAACATTTACAACAGCTTGACTGATAACAGGTCCAGCAACACTGAGAACAACAGACGTTAAAAATCATCCCTGCAGTACAAGTCAAAATATATCGAAAAACCAAACAACAACCAAATACAATTCCAAAGAAAGATAATGCAGGACGATAAAAGTCAAAAAATGCGAAATATCCACAAACTACAGCAATTCCAATAGACCCATATCCTGCAAAAAGTTGCAAGAACAACAGCCGACATAGATCTCTATCTTCCAATGTTTTCTTTCGTCTCCTTGAAATTGAATTGTTAAATACGAAAGACAAAAATAGTATAGTTTATATTCCTGTAGCGACAGAAACAGTCGCCAAACACGTCATCAGGGCTGCTTCATAAATAAGTTTCTCTGCAATGTTACAAACAAAATTCGTATCAGTGTGATTCTTCATGTCGTCAAGGATAGCACTACTTGTGTTTTTAAAGCACCATTGATATCGGGCAAATGAGCAGCCAAGTCTATTCTGATATCCGCTTCGTTGCGTAAATTACTTCCCCTTTTGTCCCCCCATTTAATAATGCTACTTTCGACGGTAAGGCTTACAATAGCAGTAACAATTACTCTTACATAAGCTGTACGCACCAACGAACCAGCAATGGCACCAAGGGCAGCTACTAACAAAGCTGTTTTGAGCCCTACTTCTTTACAATCTATGATTAAAATGTTGAATAAATCATTAAAACATTTCTTGGAGAAAGTTTTGGTGTCTGCTTGATGACTGAAACTCTTTCCGGTAAAAATATAGTTAATTGCATGTTCACAATTGTTTGATGATAATTCATACTTTCTCTCACCAATTCTATCGTTGAGACGATTAAAAGCTTCCTCAATTTCATCTTCTTTGCTTGGGTAGTTTTCCTTCTCAACTAAATACACACCCTGGTTAAAGTCTAAAATATTGTGTGTCTTGTTTTCTCCAATGAAGATCGTCTGCTGTATAAATTTACCGATGCCATCACAACTCTCCATCCCAATTTCAGCCGAGCTTGTGTATTGTTCGATGGTGACAGCATCTATCCTATCAGATACTTTAGAGGTTTTCAACACCACGAAATGGTGGAAGTAGTCATGAACACCTTTTCGTTTCACTTGTACATGAGACAACGGTTTAGACTTACACTTACGTCGGAAATCATCATAATTTTTCAGTTTATTTAGGCCAGTTAAAATATAAATAATTTTATGCTCACAATTGTTTGATGATATATCATACTTTCTCTAATCAATTCTCTCGCTGAGACGATTAAAAGCTTCCTTAATTTCTTTTCTTGTACGTGGATAGTTCTCCTGTTTAACTAAGAATACACTCTGCTCAAAGTTTAAAATAGCATGTGTATGTTTTTTTTTGTTTCGCTTTCATCCATCAAAAACGTCTGCTGTACAAATTTACCGATGCCATCAGAATTCTCCGTCCCAATTTCAGCCGGGCTTGTGTATTGTCCGATGGTGACAGCATATATACCATCAGATACGTCTTCAGAGATTGCCAACACCACGAAATGGTGAAAGTAGTCATGAACACCTTCTCGTTTCACTTGTATATGAGACAACGGTTTACACTCACGTCGGAAATCATCATAATTTTTCAGTTTAATTGAATCTTGTTCCTTGCAAGAAATTTCGGTATTTTCCTCTTGAGCACTGACACTCTTTCCGGTTAAAATATAGCTAATTGCATGCTCACAATTGTTTGATGATATATCATACTTTTTCTCATCAATTCTCTCGCTGAGACGATTAAAAGCTTCCTTAATTTCTTTTGTTGTACTTGGATAGTTCTCCTGTTCAACTAAGAATACACCCTGCTCAAAGTTTAAAATAGCATGTGTATGTGTATGTTTGTCGATTTCTTCAATCAAGAACGTCTGCTGTACAAATTTACCGATGCCATCACAAGTCTCTATCCCAATTTCAGCCGAGCTTATGTATTGTCCGATGGTGACAGCATCTATCCCATCAGATAATTTAGAGATTACCAACACCACGAAATGGTGGAAGTAGCCATCTTCTCATCTCACTTTTATATGAGACAACGGTTTACACTTACGTCGGAAATCATCTTAATTTTTCAGTTTATTTGGATCTTTTTCCTGGCAAAGAATTTCGGTATTTTCCTCTTTGAAGTCAATTCTTATAGTATCATCTTCACCATGACTACATTTCTACAAAATAAAAAAAAAAAACGGATTTTTTACACTTGTATTTTGATGAGTGTTAAATTTCCAAATTGCCGTCAATTACTTTATGAATATAAACGGAAATGATAGGCAAATGTCGAGAAGAGAGAAGTTCTAATGTCTAATAATAGAGCTATAAGAAATTAGACAACGAAAAATATAGCAAAGATAATTGACAAAATGCCATGTCATCGGCAAATATTTTTTTAGAATGATAGAAAGCAGTTTCGTAGTACTTATAATTCTTAAAAATCGAAAAGTCCTGATTATTTACAACATAACACTCCAGCATTTCAACTTTTCTCATTGAAGTATGTAAGTTATTCATGGCATTTCATAAGCATGATAAGTACTGCTAAACTGTGAAAAAACGCCAGTTTACCAGAATCTGAATGTACGTAAAAAGACTTCCATGAAATTCCATGCTCCCTACACTTGAAAGAACCCTTGTAACTTTTTGAGGATGAGGTGGTCTGTTTAAAGGCAAAATTTCTGCTTCCATTTTCCAGTGGCAGTCGAAATTCACGCATTTCATCCACTTTGCAAAACCTACCTATCAGAGTTATTGTTGATTTGTTCTCGTCCTGGTTATGGGAGAAACATTTGCCTCTGGACTCAAACAACAAACAATCAATCATCATCGAATGTGTTGAAAAATTCTTTTAATCAACTTATCATAATACTCAGAAGACACAGACAACTAGCTGTACTCACGGTGTATTGTTAAATACACAGAAACACCACTGTCCCAGATTAGGATGAGGGTTCAACGCTCACAAACATGTTTTACCCGGCCAGATTCCATTATATGTGTCTAATCCACCATTTTCTACATAAGGAAATGGCTGTACCAAGTCAGGGATATGACAGTTGTTTTCCATTCGTTTGATGTGTTTGAGCTTTTGTTTTGCCATTTGATAAGGGACTTTCCGTTTTGAATTTTCATTGGAGTTCGGTATTTTTGTTATTTAACTTTTTTTCAAAGTCAGGAGCCTGTCATTCAGTGGTTGTTGTTGGGTGCTGTTTGTCATATTGGTTTTTCGTTTATTGTTTTATCAAATTTCAAATCGTTGGGTTTTTCGTTTGACTTGTTTCACATATAGTCATGTCGGGGCCTTTTATAGCTGACTATACAATATAAATATTGGTCATTGTTGAAGGCCGTCAAGTGACGTATAGATGCTTAAATCAACTTCATTTGAACTCTGTTGAAAAGTTGTCTCATTGGTAATAATACCACATCTCCTTATTGTATATTGTTAGAACATATTGTTTACCTAATACATTTGTAGTTGAAATTGGGCTTTGAACTAGCTTTCAGTTCCTGAGAGTACTCTATGATCGGTACTTTTTTTCTCGTCTTTTTGTCTCTTGTTGTGTGCTTTATACAGATCTGATGAGTCAAGCCCGTTCCAACTAATTTTTGCAGATTGTTCTTATGTTGTGTTTTTATACAACTGTCCCATATTAGGGGAGGTTGAGGGCTCACAAACATGGTAAACCCCGCTACTTTCTTTGTTTCCCCGTCCCAAGCCAGGAACCTGTAATTCGGTGGTTGTCATTGGTTGCTATCTGTCATATTTATTTTAGTATGAATCAGGCTGCTGGTTTTCTCTTTTGAGTTGTTTCCCAGTTTGTCATACCGTGACCTTTTATAGGATATGGGTCATGCTAATTGTTGAAGGCCGTATGGTGACCTGTTATTGTCATTTATATTTATTTATTTAATATTTGGTCTTTATGGATAGTTGTCTCATTGACAATCATAAAACATCTTCTCATTTTTAAATATATCCGTGGTTAAATTAAGATTAATTAATAATGATGTTCAACACTACAACTTACGATCTGTCTATCATAACGATCAATTTGTTCCAAGACCAAATACTAATTTTTATAAAAAATCTTTTCATTATTCTGCAACGGTGACGGTGACGGTGACGGTGAGTGAGTGACGGTGACGGTGACGGTCAACAGCTTCCAATTGCTTTTGAGCATTTCCATATGCTCAAGTTAATATGTGTTTCGGATAAGCAAGATTTCTGAAATAAGAATGTTGGTAGGCAACACTTTTTTTTTAAGATGAACTCAATACAATAAGGTATTTAGACATATTCTTTCTTTTATAAAACATTATGTGTTAAAATTGCAGTAGTTATTTAATTATCTGAGTTTGGAAAAGAAGAATAAATAATTGAATTATCACCGTTTAGACAATGTACATAAGGAGAGAAACTAATGTTATCTGAATTTGGATAGAATACATAATACACATTACCAAGGATCAATAACTGTTCTTATCCAAATTCGGATAAGAAGAATACATGACCTACCTCACAGAGTTAAGTATGCAATGTGACGATCCTTATCTAAATTCGGATAAGGATATCTATATTCAATATTAAGTCGTCTTGGTCGTTATCCGAATTCGGATAAGAAGAAAAAAATATTGTACATAGGAGTACTTTTTTTATGATTTTCTTTTCCGAATTAAAGGTACAAAAAAAATGTGTATATCAAGCAGCCTTATTATGAAAGACTAGAGTATACATTAATTTTTTTATCCTAATTAGTTAATAATGTGATTGATGGTTTATTGTTGTTTGTTTTACGTCCAGTGGGAAATATTTCATGTACATGCAAATTTGAAAGCAAATTATTGACGGCACATTGGGTTCTACAATTATTTCATTTGTCATTGGTAAAGGCGAGTATGTTAGACCGCAGTAGAAAAAATACCATATAACATGCCACCAAAGGGAACAATGAGGACCTCTACAAAGATTGTTGCGGTTTTTTTTAAAGTTTGGACGGTGCTT